GGTCGTTGCTAGTCGTAGCAAGATGATCTTCACTTCAAGCAAGAAATCTTGTCATACCTTGGTCAAGATATGTGTGCAAGTGTTGGATGTCGTGGGCTCTCGCACATTGGTGCAGTTGTCATCAAAAAAGGTACATATCAACAATGTTTGCACGTTTGAGGCTGAAACTATGACGCATACGTTATCTAAACCTAAATTTATTGGTCTGCGGCTACAAACCTTTTCGTTGACGTTGCTTAGATGATTAACCATTCAGGCCTCGCATTAAATGGCGTTGCGAACTCTTTAGTTGTGTATGAAAACCTATTTTTGCCCTAATAAAAGAATTGTAAAAAGGACACATGTCTTCTGCTGATACATATCTTCCAATTTACAATGCAGAGGCAAAAAGAAAGTCAACTGTGTAGTAGAGTGGGAAGTTGGGCTAGTGGGTAGTTATTCATCTTGGTTTTAAAAGCGCACAAAAGACGAGGACAGAGTAAGAAACACAAACGACGGACGAGCGCTCACTCGCAACTGATAGGTTTTATTGGAACCTCAGAAAACACGAAAAGCACCCCCCCCCCCCCCCTTCCCCCACCAGATCGCTCGTCCGTCGTTTGTGTTGCTTACTCTGTCCTCGTCTTTTGTGCGCTTTTAAAACCAAGATCAACTGTGTACATCTACCACTTAGCATAAGCACCTTTTGCCATTCATTCTTGAGCACACTTAGGTTGCTCTTGTTTTAGAATCTTTGCCCTGTTTTGTAAAAAGAAAAAAGTTAAAAAAGCTTTACCTGTGTTCTCCTTCTGGCATTTAATACAGACTTGTTTGTCAGCAGATCACAGACAGCATATGTCACTGTGACACATACAACTCGAACGACCGATCAGACTATTGCTATTACAATAAAGCTTTCCACAAGAGCCAAAAGGAGGCTTGCAGGGGTGCACAAGCCCATCGAAATGAGATTGGCGCTTTCGGGGCTTGTTTATATTATGCGTAAAAACAGGACGATCGGCGACCAGCTGATTGCAATATAACACCAAGGATACCGATGTTTCGATACATAAAACGCAGGATAACGACCTCAATCGTCCCTTGTATGCTGTAGCTGTCATACTTTCCGTCCAACCGCTTGTTAGCACAATTAAGTATAGAACAACCGAAGAGTTCGCAACGCCGTTTAATGCGAGGCCCTGAATGGTTACATCATCTGAGCAACGTCAGCGAAAATGTTTGTAGCCGCAGACCGATAAGATTAGTTTCAGATAAAGTTCGCGTCATAGTTTCAACGCGCGAACATTGTTGATAAGTACCTTCCTTTGGACCCGCGTACATTCGGTTCAACTTGACGACAGCTGCACCAACGTGAGAGCTCACGTCGAACATTTGCACACATATCTTGACTATGGCAAGATTTCTTGCCTTCGACTGGCTTGAACACTTCATTTGTAGCATCACGGTAGGTCTTGGTTGAAGTGATGACCGTCTCGCACACGGCAACGAACAGAGAACGACACGCTTTGTTTAATTTATACGCTACCGGTCTACGGGCGTCGCAAATCTATCCCCCTCTTATCCGCCATGTTGGATCGATCGGAGCGCCCCCTATATTCGCTTAAACTCCTCAATTGCTTAATTGCATTCTACGGCTCGTACAAGTATTTCTAGTTGTCTTCATTGGGTTCGTATAACTGAAAGGAATAATAAATTGTGTCTTAACGTCGGAGTCACCGTTAATCAAGTAGTAAACAATCAAAATTTTTGTCAAAGCATAAAGTTCGGATTAGAACTTCATGCTGTCAGCAAGAGAGCAATGGGAACCGGAAGTGTTAAAAAGTGAGGGCAGACACTCTGAAAGAGGTGGCGCTGGGAGCGTTACGGTCGGTTTGCTCCGCAGCGCGTGCCACTGGGGTGGATCATGTGACCGATCGCTCACGGAGGCGCCAACCGCTCGACGACCGCTAGCGTGGAGTACAGCCGTATATTCTAGAGAATTTGGCCATTCGTTAGGAAGTATAAGAGGCAAATGAGAAAACGCCATTGGCCGAAAGCGGGCTAGGCGTGTTCCAGGGCGTCTTCACAAATTCGAATGTGGCCAACCAGAAGTCGGAAATAGTACCCTGGCGGTGGTCGCGAGAAACAAACTCAAGAAGTGCGTCGGAGTAACTCTCGGTGACAGAAAATATGGTGCACGTGATGTTTCAATCACGGTCATCCAGAATCATGGTGGAAGAGTGCGACTAGCGAAATGATTGACATAATCCGTACGCCAAGCGCCGAGGGCCGGGAACCTGCCTTCCGAGCGGTCACACTCTCTCCGAGCAAAGCAGAGTTGAGCGGCACATTCCTTTCTTACGTCATTCTGCATGATGATGATCGAAACGCCACGTGCACCCTGTTTTCAACCATGAATAGTAACTACATTTCCTTTCTTACGCGCTTATTCAAACCATATATCAACATATAGCTATAATTAAAACCGTTTCTCGCTACCACCGCTAGGTGATACTTTTCGGCTTCTGGTTCGCCGCACTCTTTATACACGGCTCTGGCGCGGAGCGCTCCGCATCTTCCAGGGGAAGAGGCTAATAATTTATTTTAAAAAGCCTGTATTACGTGTTTAGGAATTTCTTTTACTAAACTAGAGCGTCTCTAGGCCACGAAAACATACAATCTTTAAAATGTTCAAAAACAAGCCTGGATCACTGACATGACCGCTTGCGCAGTGTATACGTCACGGTGTCTTTGATTATTTTACTGTTGGAAGTATAGAGAGTACTAAAAAAAATCGTGTTACTGTAATTTAAGCTGTGAACGTACGCCCTGATGTTTTGCGTAACGCAGTACACATTTTGGCTAATGCGGAGCTCGCCGCTACCGACGCGTCTTAATTCGACAGTTGCTGACAACTACTCGTACGATGGTATGCAAACCAAATCTAACGCGTTACAAGTAACGACGTTACTAGTAACCCGTTAGATATTTTACTAACGTACTCGTTAGAATCCCAAATGACTAATGAGTAAAGTAATGTCGTTATTATTTTACGGTATCTCCTGTCAAATTACGTTACCCGTTGCTCGATTCTTTTGATTAAAAGTAGCCGCATGATAGTTTGAAAACAAAATAATTTTTGTACTGTACACTATACTCGGCGACACCTTTTCTTTGCAATGCAGTGGAGAGGAAGAGAGCCCGCGCACAGCTTTCTACAGTGCTCAAAATGGGAGAAGGAACGCGTGCCTGTACCTTCCAGTGCATTCCAGTGCCAAGAAAAGCTGTCGCCGAGTATAATTAAAAGTGGCAAAAAAACCTCACCAAAGCTATATATAAGTGGCGTCATTTCAAACTCCTCCGGGAGGCACTTTTAACGTTTCCACAACCGGGCCCAAAAGGCGCGAGATTATCGCTCAGCGGAACTCCTAAGCGTCCTTGGTGCAGTCTTTGGATAGAAGCTGCTAAGATCACTGTCGCCGTTACCTAAGCAGCCGTCTCGCTGAAAGGAGACAGCCGTTCAGAAGTCAACAGTCTGCCGCCGCTCGAAGGATTTTGCGTCAGCACCCCTTACTGCAACAGCTGGTCACCCCCCCCCCCCCCCCCCCCCCCCATCCTTCTCTTAATAAACAAATTCTCGTTCTATCAACACGCTTTAAACCAAAACAAGTGTGTCAGCGGTGGCTGGGTGCTGACGTGTCGTTAATTCGAAATGTGACGTTGGTTTGTGAAGGAGTAAAATAGCGTTTAATTTACCGGATTAACTTTGATTACATGAACAGGTCTACATGGCATCCGTTGCGTGGTGTGAATCCGGTCGTTCTTTTCCGAGTGGTTTCTTCTTCCCAGGCAGGTCCTATATGGGCAAGGTTCAGTTCTCCGAATCGTGTTCGCGAAGCGTCACGTGACCTAGGGTGCACATTACACATCCTGCCGAGGCCATGCAAACAAGCTGCTAACAAGTGGCAACGTTATATCCCAGCAATGAACGGCGACCGTGACCAGAAAGACGTCACCATCTTTTAGAATCCCTGCCTGCTTGTGCAGTTTGTATGAGTTTCCAACGTATAAATGTGATCTGTAGCCCACTTCTCTGCTGGAATGCTCCGGCGATGCAGAGTAGAAATAAATAAACAGATAATAATCACTCTGAACAAGCGTGTTGTTGCCGAAGTTTATAGAGGCGGTTTATCATAAACATGCTGTCACATATACAAACAGTGAAACACAAAGCAACGACAGACCAACGTAAAAGGGACGTCCGTTAGTCATCATGGCAAGTAACGACACCGGTAATTCGTTACGTTTGCGAAATGGTGCCGGAGCTCTGTAACACGTAAGCTTTTTTCCAAGCCAACGAGTAACGCTATTTCGTTACTTATTTTCGATGACGGGCACAACACTGCGAGCGAGTGCTTCGCCACCATTCGCTTCCAAAGGCCGTTCATTTCACTGCGTGTCGCCGACATTTCCTTCCAAAACCCGCACGAGGCACGCGCCTCGTATGGTGGCGTATCTGACGCTACTTGCAAACACAAACGCATCGAGGGGCTTTAGGTCGGCTGCTAGTCTGTGCGACTTGTGACCAAAAAAGGTCAACGGGCCCAATGACTGCGGCCGAGGACCGCCTCGGAGTTTCGAGAACCAAACCGCGGCTCCGATGTTGATGCCGATGCGATGGCTCTGCTGTTGGCAGGGCGCACGCGCAGACGTTTCACGAGAGTCTGGTTTCTGCGTACGCACAATGCCCACAGCTGGTGTCGGCAAAACGCTGCGTTGTTTGTAAACAGTATGTTGACTTCTTTTGCAAGGGTTGTGGGGACCTCAGAACGCCAAGCTCTTCTGATTGGCTCTGATTGAAGAAGGATAGGGGGTAGACCTCGAGGCAGCTTGCCTTGAGGTCTATTCACTATGCTTCAATCAGAGCCAATCAGGGCGCAGCGTTCTGACGTCACCGGAAGCCCTTGCTCAACGAGCAGACGCGTTTGCGTTTGATCTTGGATGAACGCTGCCTGCAGAGCCAAACAGGAAGCGAGCCCAGTTTGAACATGGACAGGCTTTCTCCCGATCTGAAGCTTCTGGCCCGGCGAGAGCTTGGTGAAACACCGCAAGTGAGCAGGGAGGCTGTAATACAACTGCGGACACTTATAACCGGTAAGTGGAAACAAAGAGGATGGTGTGTGATGTGTTAAAAAATGAAAAAAAAAAGAGAAGAAGAATAGTCATAAGGAAAAAGTTTAAACCGGTCTAATGCAGTGAAGTCTCGTTAAATGGACACCTCTTTCCCCCAAAAAACGATCGCCCATAATAGAGTCGTCAATAACAAGGAAAGAATGCATTACCTATTGCCAGATAATACTTTGTCCTTTTAGCATACTATCTCCGTTCCTATTCACGGAGTTTATATTAACGAAACATGACCGCATAGTTAGGAAGCTTTAAACATTTAATTCCTGGACTACGAACAGAGAGCAGTGGATCAGAAACTATTCCCGCGGACAATAAACAGTCTGTGGAAAAGCTGCCAAAGCTACACGCTCACTTGTCATTTGTTCTCTAGGTTGATACATCACTTTATTTCTGAGTATACAGATACACAAAACAACACAAAGCAAATTCCAGTTCTGAACGTCAACCTTTGAATGCTATTAGTGGCTTTCCCTTGTCGGATAAACTATGCTTTGTCTGTTTATACCGTCTGAGTTTATTTCCGTGTTTACCTCGCAAATACAATTCTCACTCGAGTCGGGTTCGTGAGTTGAGATATTCGGCAATTATTCGTGTATTCTCCAGCTGCTCACTTTCGCAGTTCACGACGGTTGTCTTGTTTTTTTTAGTCAATTTTCGTGTCTAGCCGCAGTTCAAACATTGTTTTAGGCGAGGCATTAGGACATTCCTCCTACTGTAAGGGAAGTGACTTCTGTGAATCAAGTTGTGCCGCTTTAACCGCACGAGGTCCACTAGCATGGTATACGATGAGTTGTCGGGCCCCTAAAGCCACGGTCACAGTCTGCAGACACTAAGGAGTTTTAGGGAACCGTTTTAGAGCGCAGCTCTTAGGCGCCCGTTTCCGGCTTGAGCGGCGTCGGCGTAACCGCGCAGTGCATTATGGGTAAATTTCCCCGCTAAATCTAGCGGAAAAATTTCCCCGCTAAATCTAGCGAAAAAATTCCCCCGCTAAATCTGGCGACCAAATTTCTCAGCTAAATCTAGCAAAAAATTTCCCGCTAAATCTAGCGGAAATTTTTCTTTAGGGCGTCACGTGACCTGGACGTGACCCCCCAGGTCACGTGACCTCCCCCCTCTCCCCCGAAGTCACGTGACCCCCCCACGTGACCTCGAGGAAGGGTGTCACGTGATCCCCCCGTGCCCCTTCCCCCCCCCCCCCCCGAGAACACGTAAATCTCAGTATCCTTCCCTCCTCCTCCTCAAGAGCTGCGCTCTAATTCGGCGTTACAGGGAGTTGTAAACGGCTTTCATTTTTTGCACATCCGATACTCTACGATAAGCCCTCCGTTACGAACTGCGCGTGTGCTGCCGCAGAAGAAGCGCGCACGCGCAATTCGTACCGTATATGATGTGTAAAAACGGTTCCCTCAAACTCCCTACTGTCTAAGGCGCGTTTCTTCCTGGTACGACTGTCCCGTCCCGTTGATCATACAAACAACTGTTTTCAAGCGAGCTTCGAGGCATAATGAAGTAAAATACGCTCACAAGGTGCATGAGGCGTGTCTTCGCGGACCATTCTGCCAGCATGTCTACGGCGAACACAATCTCGTCTGTGTTTGATGATGCAGGACCAGTGTGACGCCGGCTTCAATTGTCTACAAAATACATGCTGCAAATGTAACATGTACTAGACCCAACGCGCCCGACCGCCACAGTTTTCTGTAAACGTGTGAAGTTCAAGCACCTTAAGGAGAGGACGTTTTGTCGGGAACATTGTCTCTTCCCTACTCTGAAACGAGGACTTTGGTTAAAAAGTTGGACAGGAAGTTACAAAACGGACTTTCTTTCTCCTTTACGGGACGGGAATAGGCGTTTTCCAGCAAACACGCGCTCTGCGGGTGTACGATGCCCGGAACGCGGCTCCGACTGGAGTGTTTAGCGTCCTGTCCCCCGGCAGCATCGAAATTGGTCCCGCAGTGACAACAGATGGACGTCACAAAAGCCCGTGTGTCAGGCCGTCGAATGTCGCGATCCTCGTAATCAATCATACAAAAAATGACTTAAAAAAAAAAACACGAGCAAACGCGAATCGTACAGTCGTTCCAGCGTCCCGACCGCTGACTCCCGAAGTTTCCGTGGACTGTCAATCTGGTGAGCGACCTGCGACAGAACAGGCGTCTGTCACTTCCACCACCGCTGCCGTCACGGCAGCGGTGGTGGAAGTGACAAACGCCTGCCGTGCCATACTGCACCCGCAGTATGGCACGGCAGCGGGTACCATATTCACCAATGTTTGTTTGCAAACAAGCTCGCTGCCGCCCACTATCGGCGGACCCCTGCGCGCTTCCGGTTTTCCTCTTCTTTTCCTCTTGTCACACATCCTTTTGTTATTTGTACTACGTTCTACAAAGCGCGTAGGTTCTTACAAACCTATTACAGGTACCTCTCCGAAGGAAAATCTTATTTTCCGATCGCTGTGTGTTACTGAAGAAGAAATAAATACACAACCGGAAGTCTACTGGGGCACCAAATACTGTGGCGCCCTCGTGGTACCAACTCCCACCGAATGCGGTGAATACTGCGGGTGCAGCAGTATGGCACCCGATTCACCCACACCATAGAGTCACAAAATATGCTACACCTAGAGTGTCGGCACTACACATTCCCCGAATGTCTCGTGGACGACGACATTTTGGTGCTGGGTGCCGTTACGATTTGAAAATACCACTTCAATGGCTTCGCGTATACGTTGTCAGGATGATAATGCGACATGTCGTTTTGCTTCTTCGCGAACTCTTTTTTAACGTTTCTGGAAGATGGAAAAGCGTTTCCCGCGATTTCAGTTAAAGCTATAAATCGTACATTATGTAGTGGCACTAACCCACGGCTGAGCTGGGGAGGGGGGGGGGGATGACTTAGCCTGAGCAAGGTTTGAAGCAGATACGATAAAATCAGACCGGAAGCAAAAGAAGGAGCGGTAGAGGACACTGCATTTACTGTTCGCTGGTCGGAGAGCCATGGACGCAACCGTAGGATAAGCCGTGCAGCAACAGCAGGACTTATCCTATGGTCCTATCTTCGTACCTTCATGACAGAAGAGCCGTCGCTGCAATGTCCCCTGGACGAAGAGTTCCTGGTGAAGTTCCTGCGTGGCCGCAAGTACCGAGTGGTGGACACCTTGGAGGTCATCCGGAAGTACTTCCAAGTCCGGTTGGAGTACACCGACATCTTTGATAATCTTCTGCCATCCCGCATCATGTTCGATACCATATACCGCCGGCACAGAGTGGTGGCCGTTCTCAAGGAACCGGATTCACTGGGGAGGCTAATAGTCGTTGCTAGGCTGGGTAAGTCAAAGTCTCCAAGGAGCTTTTTTTTTACATTTACTATGTACAATGGTGGATTGGAAAGAGGGTGAGAGAAAGAAAGAATTGAGACAATGAGTTCCAAACATGGAATTCGCTGGCAGTGAGGAAACGTGTGACTTAAGTCTCACCCGAGCAGAGAAGTTATACATGATCTAGCTGTCATGGTGCACACATGGGAGCCCGCTCGCCTCTCTTGGCCCGTCGATGAGCCTGGACTGCCGGTGAGACTGCGCGCGCCGCCGTCGACGCACCGCGTTGGCGGCGACGCTTCGCCGTTTTTGGTTAAAGCGGACCTCGGAATTCATCACTTTGTATACTTGTACATTAATGAAATTAATCCAGTGCTTAATTACTTCATATCGACGTACGTTTCCTGTCACCGATTATCTAGGTGAGCTTTCTCAGACGTTGACCATCCTCTCCAAATGTATGCTTTCAGGCGTCTGGAACCCGAGCCTGTGCTCCATGACCGAGTTATTCAGAGCGATCGTCCTTGTGGCCGAATACAGTCTGCTGGACCCGAAAACTCAAATCACCGGCATCGTGGCAGTGGTGGATCTGGAGGGACTCCATTTTACGCACATGCTCCACTACACCGTCTCGGAAATAAAGAAGGCCATTAAGCTAACCCAGGTAGAACTACGAGGTTTGCATTCTGGTTCATTCATTTTGTTATTCATTCTTTGGTTCATTCATTCATTTATTCATTACATGGTTCATTCATTCATTTATTAATTATTTGATTCATGCATTCAGTCATTTAATCAATATTTGGTTCGTTCATTCATTGATATAATGTTTTGTTCATTCGTTCCTTCATTCAATATTTGGTCCTTTCATGCATTCGTTCTATCTTTGGTTCATTGTTCATTCCTTCGTCGATTTTGTTCATTCATTAAATTTTTAGTTCATTCATTCTTTGGTTCATTCATTTAATCCATCTTCGGTCCATTCATTCATTTATTAATTCAATCTTTGGCCCGTTTATTCATTCATTCATCAATTTTTTATTTCCTTCGTTCATTTTTCGGGTAATTCATTCATTTGTTCATTCGTTCATTCGTTCATTCATTCATTCATTCAATCACTCTTTGGTTCATTTTACATTCAATCAATCTCTAGTTCATTCATTTATTTGTTCATTGAATATTTGGTTCATGCATTTATTCATTCCAATTTTTGTTAATTAATTCCTTCGTCGAATCTTTAGTTCGTTTATTCATTCAATCAGTATTTATTTCATTCATTAATAACATTTGGTTTTCTTCATACATTCTATTTTTGGTTAATTTATTTATTCATATTATTCAGTTCATTTATTTATTTTTTGGTTCACTCATTAATTTGTTTATTCTTCATTCATTTACAATTAACGATCCAGCCCCACTGTAGGGAAAATGCGCGTGGAATACGGGCAAAAACACGACAGGTAAAAATATTCGAGCGGGTGTCTGGTGCTACAATACGTGGCAGTAATTGAATGATTCGTTAGTATATTGCCATCAAGGATGCAACTGGGTGCGCGCTATGTGATTGGAGGTAATACTCGTCTCGGTTATATAAAAAGAAATGAGTTCTTGCAAGTATCATTTGGACCACGGATCTAGTTATGTTTACTTAAAATAGAGAACGTTTAACGGAACAATAAACTTCAAATTTTGTTTTACTATTTCCTGTATAGTACAAACGTTTTACAAAATAAACACCTCTACCCCCCCCCCCCCCCCCTCCCCCTTCCCGAAGAAAAAAAATATTTGCGTCGCGAGACTCACTCTAATGGCGCATTCACACTGGAAGCGGATCCGCGTTCGCGAAGCGGTCGCGGATGCGGTTCGCGAGCGACCCCGTTCAGACACACCGAGAGGCGGTTGGCGGTTTCTCAGCGATCACGCGTGATCTTTTGAGACTTGTGTTTGGCAACCCTGTTTTGCAATCCAAAATCCACTTTAATTCAAAATCCAAAGCCAAACTTTGCTATTTTGGCACTCGGAATATTTTTCTCCGGGATGTTCGCACGCATCACGACTCACGAGTTCAGGCAGCGAAAAAAGAAGCATGGTCCTGCCAAACTCGCCTGTGATTCCCTCGACTTCGCCCACAAGCAAAGCCCAGCTAGGCGCGCCTTGCTGACTCAGAACAGGATGCCCCCGACCTTTTCTTCGAAGTGGGCCCTTCCCGCATGAATAGCTGACCTTGTTTTCAGGATAGAGGGCCAGTTTTTCCCCCCTCGTTGTTCGCTCTTACCATTTTCGAAGTTGTGAGCGGTGGGGTGGAGCGTGGTGCGGGGAATGTGTTCGGTGCTAGCCGGTCGTGGCTTCGTTGGTGGCGGACTCTCCTCTCGTCACTTGCTCGTCGATCGAGTCTACTGTTTGTTTGACATTAAGCTCAAATAAACGCCGTATGGATTACCTCTGCATTGTCTGGTACGTACACTTTATTCCTTGAGTAGGTTCCTTTTATTTATTTTATTAGTAGTAAACGTTACAGGTCGAGCTAGCGCAGGTACCCTGCCCCCTCCGCGGTAGTGCGTTGGCTACGCAATCGAGCTCACGACGTCTCTATCGGCCTTCGTGGTGGTCATGCACGGTGTCGAAAGCTTTCAATAGTTCACGCGACTATCTTAGTGGGTAGAAAGGCTGTTATTTCGGTCGATCAGGGGCGGGTTCCGACGTTCTACAGTTAACAAGGCCTTGGGCTGTGGCACCCGGGATAATAAACAAACTCTTACCCAAACCAAATCACCGGTGCGAAGCCCGTTAAAGTTACGAGCCAATTCTTTTCGCGGCGGATTCGAGTGACGGACGTGAACATCAAGTTTCTCCGTTGATTTGTCGAAAGCTAAGACTACAGCGCTAGGACAGCACCGCCTTGGACGCCTCACCACCGACAGGTGCCATCTTGTTTCGAAACTCACTGACGTCACGTCAGCGTCGCGTTGTGATTGGTTACCGCTTTGCGGTTCGTGAAAGCGGTTGAGAGAAATCGGTCGCGAAGCGGTTGGCAAAAACGCGCTCCAACCGCTCGATCCTAGCCGCTTTGCGGTTGAGAACGCGCGGATCCGCTTCGCGAACGCGGATCCGCTTCCAGTGTGAACGCGCCATAAATGAAGAGCGATTCCGAAATGTGCTTCTATTACGGGGCCGTCGTCTCGAAATTAGCGTTTCGGAGAACCGGACTTACCTCAAACTGTGTATTGCCGCATTCCTAATGCAGGACTCTTTTTAGAGCACAGCTCTTAGGCACCCGTTTCCAGCTTGAGCGGCGTCGCCGTCGCCGTCGGCGTAACCGTAAGCTCACTGAAGCGTGACCTTACGCGGTGACCTGGAGGTGACCCCCCCCCAGGTCACGTGACCCCCCAGCAGTAGGAGGGAGGTGGAGGAGGAGGCGAGGGGAGGAGGTTGAAGGAGGAGGTGAAGGAGAAGGAGGGGGTGGAGGAGAAGGATGAGGGGAGGAGGAGTAGCAGGTAGGATCACGAGCGAGGAGGAGGGAGGAGGTATACCCTCCCCTTTGTACCCTTCCCTCCTCCTCCTCAAGAGCTGCGCTCCAATTCGGCGTTACAGGGAGTTGTAAACGGGTTTCATATTTTTTTTTACATACAAGGAACATTAATTTTCTGACAGGCGTGTCTTATTTAAGCAGATAAGGTGATTTGGAGGAAATTTAGTGTTCTTTAAGTTGTGCTGGTGATAAACGATGTTACATAAGAGGCGGAAACAACTTTCCTCAAAGTGAAAATGAAAGCCGTTTACAACTCCCTGTAACGCCGAATTCGAGCGCAGCTCTTGAGGAAGAGGAGGGAAAGGTACTGAGGTGAGGGTATACCCCTCCTCCTCCCTCGTGATCCTGCCTGATGTTCCTCGTCCCCTCATCCTCCTCCTCCACCCCCTCTTTCACCTCCTCTCTCCTCCCCCTCCTCCTCCACCTCCCTCCGACTGCTGGTGGTAACGTGACCTGGGTGGGGGGTCACGTGACCTGGGGGTGTCGCGTGACCTGGGGGTCACGTGGCCTTGCGGGAATCACGTGACCTGGGGGTTACGTGACCTGGGGGGTGACGTGACCTTACGGTTACGCCGACGGCGACGCCGACACCGCTCGAGCCGGAAACGGGCGCCTAAGAGCAGGCAGGATCGCGAGGGAGGAGGAGGGGTATACCCTCCTATCAGTACTCTTCCCTCCTCTTCCTCAAGAGCTGCGCTCTAATTTGGTGTCACAGGGAGTTGTAAACGGCTTTCGTTTTTTGTTTTTTTTTTACACACAAGGAACATTAATTTTGTGACAGGCGTATCTTATTTAGGCAGATAACAAGATTAATTGGAGGAAATTTAGTGTTCTTTAAGTGTGCTGGTGATAAACGATGTTGCATAAGAGGCGGAAACAACTTTCCTCAAAGTGAAAATGAAAGCCGTTTACAACTCCCTGTGACGCCAAATTCGAGCGCAGCTCTTGAGGAAGAGGAGGGAAGGGTATTGAGGGGAGGGTATACCCCTCCTCCTCCCTCCTGATCCTGCCTGCTGCTCCTCTTCCCCTCATCCTCCTCCTCCACCCCCTCCCATCGCCTCCTCCTCCTCCTCCTCTCTCCTCCCCCTCCTCCTCCACCTCCCTCCTACTGCTGGAGAAGACACCTGACCTGCGGGGGGTCACGTGACCTGGGGGTGTCACGTGACCTTGCGGGGGTCACGTGACCTGGGGGTTACGTGACCTGGGGAATCACGTGACCTGGGGGGGGGGGTGACGTGACCTTACGGTTACGCCGACGGCGACGCTGACGCCGCTCGAGCCGGAAATGGGCGCCTAAGAGCAGGCAGGATCACGAGGGAGAATAAGGGGTATACCCTCCCCTCAGTACCCTTCCCTCCTCTTCCTCAAGAGCTGCGCTCCAATTCGGCGTTACAGGAAGTTGTAATTGGCTTTCAATTTTTTTTTGTTTTACATACAAGGAACATTAATTTTGTGACAAATGCGTCTTATTTAGGCAGATAACAAGATGATTTGGAGGGAATTTAGTGTTCTTTAAGTTGTGCTGGTGATAAACGATCTTACATAAGAGGCGGAAACAACTCCTCAAAGCGAAAAAGATCGTGACACAGATAGGAAGAGAACTTGATATCACGTGATGACAGTAGCTTTAAACATAGAGAATGATTGTGCATACATATATAATTATTCCTGTAGCCATTTCAATAGAGTTTCTTTTTATGAAGTTTTATGGCAATTTATTATTTCTTAATTACAAAGCAAAAAAATTTTGCTGCCCCTTTATTTGCAGGAGTGCTACCCAGTGCGAATCAGGGGTATCTACATCATAAACAATCCTCCAGTCTTCGAGCTTTTTCAGCCTGCCCTCAAGCTGTTTATGAAGCCTAAGCTTTTTGAAAAGGTAAGGTTGGTTTTTAACGTGAAAAATTCCTTTGACTGGGTGTTCGTGACTTCTTGAAGTATGGCTAAAGGTGAATCCTGGATAAAAGCGCGGCCAGCTCTTGCACGAGGCGGGAATCGAACCCATACCATATATTAGGCGAGTGTGTTTTCAATATCTTACACAATCATCTTAAAACAATATATATATATATTTTTTTTTCGGAGACCGTCGTACGATGATAAAAAATGGCCTTAATATATATATATATATATATATATATATATATATATATATATATATATATATATATATATATATATATATATATATATATATATATATATATATATATATATATATAAACGAATATGTGCAGATGAATGAATCGTACTTTAATCCAACGAATTAAAGAATCCAAGTTTTTCAGGAACCCGCCGAAAGCCAAAAAACGGCGGAGCCAGGATTTGAACTCTGGGCCTCCCAATGTCCGGTCCGTGTTGTATATATATATATATATATATATTCGAAAATATGATGATGATTGAGAAAAGGAAGAAGCCCCCGAACAGCGTGTCGCAGTTTTGTGTCTCTCAGCTTATGTTTGATGAACTTGCCAATTTGAAATATTTTTCAGTTGTTATTGTAGTTGCAAGTATTGTATACTTAGCTTTTATCCGCAGCTGCGAGTCTGAACACCAAAAAACGGGCGACGACGGCCGGCAAATTGCCATTGCCGTCTCAACCCGATGACATTCCTTCGATAAAGCCACCCGGTAAATCTTCTTCACCAAATGAAAATCCACCCTCTCAAGAGCTCGCACCGACGCGCCCAACTACCCTCTCACATGTACAGGCGGATGCCGTCATTCCCATCAAAAGGCAGCGCGTTGAAGGCGCGCGGAGACTCAACCCCGCACAGATCAGATCCTCCATCGGAAGCGGCGACATCGACCTACTCGTTACAGGAAAGCATGGATGATAACGACGATGACGCGAGTTTCACCATCGTCTCTTACGAGAAAAACCGACCAGCAGTCATCCCAATACTCGTTCATCCGACGTCCAATGAGTTTTCCTTCTGGAAGGTGAACCCGAAGGTCCTGGCACGAGAGGTATTGGGAATAGCACAGGAGAAAATACCCTCACACAGAATCGCCAAGGATGGCAGCCTAACGGTCAGTGTAGCGTCCCTCCCTGCGGTAAATAAACTGCTTCCGCAAACATCCCTCGCGGAAATCGAGGTAAGGGCAACCTCTCCAAGCTCTTAACTCCGAAAACATGGCCTAAATCAAAGGAGTTCCTCTCAAATACTCTGATAGTGATCTATTGGAGTACTTAAAAGACAATAGTGTGCTAGCTGTCCAAAGTCTGGTTGCACACCCAAGACAAGAAGATGCGACTTCCGTGGCCCGTCCCAAAGATAGCGTCATACTTCGCTTCACGCAGGACTGCCCGATGACCCCCAGGGTATAGGGAATATTTACTGGCGGCCATAGCTGTGTGCGTGACTGCTGAGCGCGTGCTGAGGGCGTGCTTCCACAGCTCTTTCGCCACGTGCATTCCGCACCACCAAGATTGCCGGTTTTAGCAGCCTATTAACGTGAGCTCGTTCCGAGCATGAGCTCTAAACATCGCCCTCAAATATGGCGTCCAGTGAATACTCCCTATACTTGGGGTTCACCAGCCACCCAGTGGAAGAGTACTTCGGTTCTCCCCTTCAATGCTACCAATGTCAACGATTTGGACATATTGTCAAGAACTGCAGCAGTGTCCACCGTTGCAAAATACATGCAGGTCCACATCACCATCAAGAGTGCAGATCACTAACTGAACCTAACCGCCGAATTCAGAAACCTCACTCAAACTACACTCAAACTGAAGGGCCCCTCCACTTCCTCGAGGAAGGCGCGAGGGCCGGCGCTGGCCAATCGCGAGGACGGATTCGTCGTCGCGAATGGGCATCGCTGGCCCTCGCGCTTTCCTCGACGAAGTAGAGGGGCCCTTCAGTTTCAGTGTAGTTTGAGTGAGGTTTCTGAATTCGGCGGTAAATGTGCAAACTGCGGCAAACGCCACGCGGCAACATTTTCCGGCTACTCCAGTAAAAAAAGCGGCAGCATGCAGTTGTAAGAAAAACAGAAATCCTAAATGGCAGATCGCCTAGTCGACGACCTCCACCATCAAATATTATGTATTCAGACGTTCTAATCGACAACCGAGTAAAAAAGACACAGTTTCAAAAAAAGAAAATGGTGCCATGACATCAGCGCCGCATACTCAATCCGAAAAGCGCGAGTCAGGACCTCCTATACCTACCGCGTCTGTTGCCCGAAGGGCTTCACGACCCAGTGCATCACAAACGACACCCTCAATGGAGACGCCGTCTGCTACATACCCTGCAGATTCCCAGGTCAACGCAAACAGCCAACAATTGATCAACAATTTCTCATACGGCTACTGTTTTTGGCAGTGAAAGCGATCATTAGATCGCTACCAGACGCCGTCAACATCTGAGAGGTAAAGGCGATCCTTACTATGGAACCTATTATTCTGGGGACAGGGGTCCCTGAAATGCCATGAATGTGTGTACAATGAAACGACTATATTCCAATGGAATGCGAATTCCCTTCGAACTTAATTAGGAGACTTCAAGAAGCTCTTCGCGCAATAACAGTTGCCTTTTCTGGCAATATCTGAAGTTCATGCAGATACGAAAATTCAGGTAGCTGGCTAGCTCACGTATTCCTCGTCCCGTCGGGATGGTCCCAGTCGAGTAATGCTCTGTGTGAGGAAAGACATACCATCAATTATTGTGTGCTCATCATTATCTGAAGCGCCAGAATACGTCGCGTGCAAGGTCACGTTTGGTACGACCGCAATAATTATAGCCTGCGTTTATTTAGAGCCAGTAACATTAGTGACGAAGGAAGATCTAGCATCAATATTCTCAAAATTTCGTGATCCCTACATTTTATGTGGGAATTTCAACTCGCACCATACATTGTGAGGAAGCGCACAAAATGATTGGAGAGGGAAGCTGATTGCCAATGTAATAAAGAAATATAACCTATGCGTAATAATAATGGCTCTCAAACATTTCTTCGTGGATGTACTCATTCAAGTGTTCTGGATTTGACATTGTGTTCTCAGGACATTTTCCCGGATCATTTGCCCACACTCGTCTAGCACAGAAAGGTAACGAGACCGCGCAATGGACAACGTAAAGTCAAAATTACAAATTGGCGCATGTTTCGATCTTTGAATACGCTAAACTGTAAAAACGTTGATGCGTTGGACGATTTTGCTTCGATTGTGAGAAAACATTTTGACCACGCAACAAAATGGATGTCCATTCCATTGGATTATAGAGGTGTTGATGCTTCGTATGAAAAACTTAGAGCAATAATATATACGTACGACGCCGTAGAGTTATTATAATAAACGCTAGAGGCTCAGTTGGAGCTAGTGTCTATACGGAACTTCCAGTTGCAAATTGAAGCAGACAGCATGCAGTCTACTTTTCCAGTCTTCCTGTATATTCCTATGGGAAAACGCGCGTGAATTTTGTCTCGTCGCCGGAAAATAACATTAATAACTTTTGTTATTTCGGTTGTACCGGATAGTTTGTACCTTTAATAATATTGTAAAAGTGTAATTGCTTTAGCTACAGCACGTTTCCTTTACCACTGAACGATGTAAAACATCGCTATATTTCAGGCCCAAACCTCTGTTTTATGGCAGGTATGTAGAAACGAGCGACGATTCTAAGCAAGATAGATAACAATCGAAAGGAATGTAGAGTGTGTTCAAAGTTCGCCAGCATTCCGTTGGTGCTTATATATTGCTAATATGCCTGTCCCCTAACTATATGAAAATAACCCCGTCGTGCATCTTTATGAGTGGTTAAAAAAACGTTTGAAACGAAAGAATAAAGTACGTGGGCTACGAAAGGTGTGTTTTCTTATTATTTCATATGTTGGGCAGTTTTTATCGCGCACCTGTTCCCTGGCTTCCCCCTATTTGCAAAGATTTGGAGCGTGCGGGTGATGATTTGAACACAGAACAAGCATTTTCGCATATAATAGTGAGCAGAAAGAATAAAGCAGTACTTATTTATTGCAAAGCGGACTATATTACGTGACTTTCAATTTATTTTGATCGTCTGCAAGCACAAGGAGTTACTTATCCAGTGTTACTGCGTAGTTCTTGCCGTCTCTCCTGGTTTTCCACATGTCCTCCGTTCGTTCGGCATGTATATCCCCCATGCTGGAAAGCGCCGACGCCGTGTTCGCGCTAACAGTGTCCGACAGTGCACATAAATGCATGCACGAAGTGGTTTTAGCACCGTTTTTCATGCCACGATTTTAAAATAAAAACGCCATAACTGACCAATTATTTCATCTGCGTGTCTGGGAAATGTTCCAATGTGCCTAGTAGGTACGAATTATTCGTGATATCTGCTCTTATAATAGAACGCAGAGAGGAAATGTACTCGCTTTTTTCCGTAGAAATGCATTACCAGAAGTCAATTTCGGACTGTTTGCTGTCTGCTTCAATTTGCGACAGCACACTAGCGCAAGTTGAAGCGTACATTATAATAACTCTATGTACGACGCAGAGCCGAACAAAGATACCACCGCTCAGGATGCATAGATGACTATAAGGAGGCTCAGCGTGTTCACGGCCTTACACAACGTAAACTTGGGCAACTTGCGAAACATCGATGGCGACAGCTTTGTGCTAAGCTATCGCCTGTAAGTGACCTCACGAAAATGTGAAATATTATAAGAGCTCTCCAAGCGCCGGCTATTCAAAGGTTCCCGCTGCGAGCAGTCGCCCTATCCAGAGGCGTATCAGAACTAACAATAGCAGACGAGTTCTGCAAATTATTGGGTCGACCAAGCACGGCATCTCTGACACTTAAATACATTGTCTCGTGTGCCATTGCCAAACAAACATTTGATAACGAGTTTACATCCTGCAATTTGGAGCTAAATTGTGTTTTCACAATAAGGCAACTT